AGGCTCATGGAGCCATTTATCCCTCCGCCCTTCAATTAACCCCACATGTGTTTATCGGCCAGGTTGGCACAATAAACTAACTCATACCCCCAAAGAAGCCACTACTCAAGGTGCTCATCTCTATCCTCATGCTCCCAATTTCTGCAAGGCTGGGGCCACCGGACTATTCCACCTTCTCCCCATCCTGCTCCTCCTCTGAGGCCTCTGGTGTGGCAGCTCCACCTTCCCCCCCACTTCAACTGGACTGGTTTTCTTACCATGTGTATGGCCCACCTAACGCCTGCTCTCTGTCTCTCTGTCCTTCTCAACGCCACTTTCTTTTGGGTCCCTAAATTGCCTCCCACCTTGCTGGAGTCCCTGGGTGGTGCAAATAGTCCCCAGGGTTGGCTGAGAACCTAAAGGTTGGCTGTTCGAGTCCCCTCAGGAGGCATCTCCAAAGAAAGAAGAATGGCCGCTATGTTTCCGAAAGGGCACCATCTGGAATGGCCAATGGCCGTGGGGTCACCGTGAGTCAGAGTCAACTCCAAGGCAACGAACATCAGTAACAAACACGGATGTGTGTGGCAAAGCATCTGCCATGCCAACACTCTCCAAGCCATCAGGTTGTGCAATCATCGCCTTCATCTGCTTCCAAGCGTTTCCCTCGCCCTTAACCGAAGCCGGGCATGCCACAACCCTTTGAGGTTCTAGAACATGCTACCCCCTTCTGAGACACCTTCCTCCAAGCCTCCCTCTTCACCTGGACTCACCCTCAGGTCTTGACTTCAAGCTCATTTCCCAGACCCACTCACACCCACTAGCCTCACTTGGTTACAGCAAGCATCCTGCTGGGCAATTCCAACCCCTCTCCTGAGCAAACCACCACCCTGTGCCAGTGGAAGCTGATGGGTTGCTAGGATGCTGAACAGGTCTCAGCAGGGCTTCCGGACTAAGGTAGACTAGAAGGAAGACCTGCATTCTCGGGTCACCCCAGAAAGCACTGCGGTCCTGAGTGGGAGACCAACCAGATGACAGCGAACAGCCACCACAGGGTTGGGGGGTTTCCAGCTTCACTACTTTGGGGAACCACCTTTGGCTACACCCTTGTGCTCTGCTCGGATGATTGCCGTCCGATTCCTCTCGAGGGAATCGCTGGGCTAAAGTGTCTTCAAGGGAGACTGTGTTTGCCGACACTCCCCCCCAGCAGGATATGGCCGCTCTGATTTCACCACACCCTTGCGAAGAATAACAGCGTGTGTTTGGCCTCGTCATTCTACTTCCTTTTATTTAATTGTTGCCAACGTGTCCAAGGGGGAAAGAAAGCAAGAAAACACACACACACACACACACATGACTTTCATTTGCCTGCCTTTGATTACCGGTGTTTCTCCCAAGTGTTTATTTTTCTATTTATGTTTCCCTTCCCGTGCGTCGCCTGTTCATGCCACTTGCCCAGTTTTCTAATACGGTGGTTTTCTGTGATGCTGAGAGGGGATGCTGATACACGACGATAAAAACCATTTGTCTTTTCTACCACCCAAGCGGCAAGTTTGTTTTTGTTTTTAACTTCAGTTTCTTCCTCGTGTATTACTTCTGTGATTTAACAAAACAAAACATTGGCCTCTTTAATTTTTTTTCCTCTCTGACTTTATGATTTGCTGCTTTAAATGCTTTTTCTGAGCATCATCTACATTTTTCATTCATTAGTCGTTGCAGAAACAGGGAGGGAAGTGGCCTTCGAGGAGGTGCCGTGTGACAGACCCCAAAGACTCGGCGCACGCCTTGGAGCCTGGAAGCTGAGTCAGGCTAGAGAAGGACTCCCGAGAGCCTCAGGCCAGGTCCCTCGCTCCTCCAGCCCTTGAAGCGGCGATCAGTCAGTTACAGAGAGGTGCTTCCTACGTGCCCTAGGTATCGTTGGGCTCGTCCACACGGACAGACAGAGTGATGGTGGGGCCACGGAGGATCTTGGAGAAGAGAAATAAGCAGCAGGACCGTGGAGCCAATTACTGGACGGGGGCAGGACCGGCGGTGCCCTGGTCATCTGCTCTGGGTCCCACAGACCCTGTGGAAAGAACCTGAATCCATGGAAGTCACAGGCAGGCTCTGGATCTTCCCTCCCCACACAGGGGTCCAAGGGCTGGGAACACCTGCCTAGGGGACAGGTATCCAGAAGGCTCGGCCAGCCTCACTGCCTCTGCTCCTTCTTGCAAGCAGACGCCTTGACCCTGACCGGGCAACTCCAGCTATCTTGCATCCCCACCCCCAACCTGCTGGGCCTAGCCTCTGAGCTCTCCACACCCCTATTCCCCACTCACCCCAAGGGAAAGTCGGTGCTGGGGGCTCTTTTCCGACCCTTCCCAAACAACTGGCCCCACAGAGGCTGGGCATCCAAAGCCAAGACTGCCCTCCATCCGCCCCTCCTTCCCGGAGCTGTCAGGGGGACATCAAGTGGCAATTGCCCACGCTGAGACTTCTGCAAAGGATTTGGGGGCTTGTTTTCTTTTCCCTTTGTTTTATTTTCTCGACACGACATGTGGGGGGATGTGCACTGAGCAGAGGGGCTCACATCTGGACCCGTCCGCTGCCCACAGAGGTGCCACCCAACTCCGGCCTGGTTCCCAGGCCCTTCCTCACAGACACCTTAATCCCTCATGCCTTCCTGTTTATCTCCTGCTTCTCGCAGAGGCGAAAATATCGGGTATGAGTTTCAGGATCAGATTTCAAGCGGAGAAGGAAAGGGAGAACCCAGAGGTCAGGTGGCTAAGCTCGCTGGCCTCCACTGCCTGGGCCTGGCCCGGCTGCAGCCAAACAAGAGGCAGGGCCCAGCAACTGTGGAGGGAGCAGCATGGCTCTGGCTCTGGCACTTGAAGCCCGTCCCCGGGTTCTGCTCTGGTCCTAGGGTCCCCCAACCCCCCAGAGAGGTTCTCTCGGTTGCCATGTGGGAATCAGTGAGGATGGATTGCAGACCCAGGGGTGTAACGTGGAGCAGGAGACAGCTCCCCCAACCTGTTTCCCACCCAGAAACCAGACAGGGTATGGGTCCCCATGTCCTATTCGATCAGATGCTGCCGCTGGTATTCGATGCTGCCGTCAAGTTGGTTCCGAGGTGGGCATCACAATGAAGCCCATGGATGTTCCAACTGGGCTCCCATCATTCCCTAGGCTTTCCCGAATTTCCCTCATCGGTGTGCAGTGGTCCAACCCGCCACCCTCTGGCCAGTTCCCTTCACACCTTTGGACCCCTGGGTGGCTCAGACAGGTAACGTGCTCGGCGGGCAACCCCAGGGATG